GCCACCGCGACCACGACGAGCGCGACGAGCAGCACGACCCCGCACACCACTACGGAGTCCAGTACCACGACCGCCACGCAGACGAGCACGCTCAGCACCACCACCACCGCCACCGAGACCACGTCCACGGGGACCAAGACTACAGTGACCACCACCCCGCACACCACCACGGAGACGACACCGACGTCGACGACCGCCACCGAAGCGGAGGATTCCGCCGGGCGCGGCTCTTCCCTTGCCCCCCTGACGCTGCTTGCGGCCCTCGCGGCAGCAGCTGCACGGTGATCCCTCCGAGGGTACCTGACGCGACAGCAGTGCTGCACATCTTCCTCCCTGTCGTGACGGCAGTGCAGTCCATCTTCTTAGCTCTGGCGGAGCGGGCGCAGGCAGCAAAAGACCCTGCGATCTCAAATGGTAATCATTTGCCTGCTCACCCAGAGACCGCGCAGAAGTTGCGGGCGAACCACAACCATCATGATCGCCATCACCACCATCATCGTCTCGAGCAAGAAGCAACGGCATACAGTAGTTAACCTTCGGAGGTCCACGCAGATTTCTTCGATCGGCGCTGGACACCCTTTCTGGCGCGATGAGCGCCAGGGGCGGCGCCAGAGGCGCCCCCACTGGTCCAGTGTCGACCTAAGAGATCCGCGAAGCCCTCCGACACGTCATGTTTTCAGACTTTGTTGTCCTTCTTCTACTTCAGGCAAGACGCTCACATAAGGACCACTTTTGGGCTTCCCAAAGCCATAGGATTCCCGAGGGAATCCTAAAGAATTCCTGGAGTTGGGGAAATCCTGCGGACCAGGTTGGTGCTTCGCCGACCAGCACCCAGGCCAGAGCCTCTGCGCTCAGGAATTCCTTCGCAAATCCAGAGGACTTTTTCGGACGGTTGGCTCACAATCATTGAATTTCAATACAGTGGAGACCCATGCCAAGAAACACCCTCCTTGCCTCCACAGAGCCGGGTTTCGGTGGTTTGGCCATGGAAGGCGTGGCGTTCCCACACCAAACATCGATGGACGCCCTGGGGTCTCAGGGTTGGGTTTCTTGTAGAAGGTTTATTGTGGTCGGGCCCCCACTATATGCTCTTGGCGGCTTCATGTCAAAACTGCTGTTAGAAAGATCTTTTTTAACCCTGACGTCGAGATCCGCGTGAGGGTTTTTGGTCTTCGGGCTGTTCCTCAGCTCTAGGCCGGCACCTCTTCGGGGCAGACGGTCAGCCGTTGGCCAGAAACGGCCCCTCGTGCTCATCATAGCGCGCTGACTGTATCATCGCCACCACCATCAGAGTGCTCCTCTCGTCGCAGGCCTAGAGGTTGACACCAACACCAACATCGGCGGTGTGCCTCCACCGAGGGAAGAAGATCCCGATCTCGGTGATGGTGGTAATATTCTGGCTTCCAAGGTGGCCGAAATATTACCACCAACACCGAAATTTAGGATCATCTTCCCCCTGTGGAGGCAACCCCCTGTGTTGGTGTTGGTGCCCATTTCCAGGCCTCGAATCTCGATACGATCGAACCGATTCGATATCGATTCCGGCCCGCCCGATCCGACTCGATTCCACACTCAGACGGTCCGATGTGGCCCGATGCTCGCATTGGAATCGTTGTGCATCCTGGCGCGGCCGACCCGATTCGATTCTGGCTCTCCTCCTCATCCTCCTCCTCCTCCTCCTCCGCCTCCTCCTCCTCCTCCGCCACCTCCTCTTTCCCGAGGCGGCCCGATTCGGTGAGCATTCCGATCCGATCTTGTTGACCGATTCGATGCCAACTGATCCTGCCATCGCCATCGTCAGCATCTCGGCTCGCGGATCTTCAAACCCCGGCCGCCTTCGCTCTTTCTTCACCGAGCGCGTTCCGCTATCCGCAAAGTGCCTGCTCGCAAACGCCAGACAAAGATACGTCTTCCTCTACAGTGGAGGCCCATGCCAAGAAACACCCTGCCTGCCTCCAGGGTGCCCTAGGTTTCTTTGGTTTCATTTGCTTTGCTATGGAAAGCGCGACGTGCCCACACCAGAAATCAAAAACGCCCTGGGGTCTCAGGGTTGGGTTTCTTGTGGAGGTTTCTTGTGGTTGGGCCCCTACTGTATGTAATGGATCGTAATGGATCGTAGATCCCACGCGGCGGATCCAGCCCCTTGACCAGTAGTGGCTTCGCGAGTACTGCTGGAAAGAGCTTGTCTACTGGAGCGGCCTTACGGTCGGTGCCGCCGGCCCCCCTGAACGACGACGGCGACGGCGACGGCGACGGCGACGGCGACGGCGACGACGACGGCGACGACGACGACGACGACGGCGACGACGGCGGCGACGGCGACGACGACGACGCGTCCCCCACACGCCGACAGGGTCGGCTGATTTCTGGCGCCCTCCAAGGGAGGAACAACCACCCGGACCGGACAGTTGGCGTTTACGAAACGTCCCTGGGCGTTTACCAAACAGCCCTGCCTTGTTTGATTCCTTCTTTGGGCGTGTTTACTAAACGACTTCGCGTGTCGGGGTGGTTATTTTCAGGAGGGGGAAAACCACACAGACACAATTAATCGTCGATTCCCAAGAAAATATGGAAAAATATGGGAAGAGGGGGGGAAGACAAAAACCCTGAAATTATATGAAAATATGGGGAATCCTGTTATTTGTGTGGATTTGTTTTCCGACGGACCGTGCGGTGAGGTCTTGGGGGGGATTTCGAGGCCACCGCACGGTCTGTCGCCGCACCGCGTCGGGACTCCAGACAGGCAGGAAGCTGCTGATGCCCCCCCCCAGGGCGTGACGGGGACGTCGGCGGCGGGCGAGGGGTCTCAGGGGCATTTTGGGAGGCAGTTTTGAGGCCTCTTGGGGGCTAGGCTCTGCCTAGAAGGGTTCTTACTCTCTTAGCTTAAAGGGGCCGGGCAGTGTAATGCGCCCCAGGCGGTTCCCCCAGGATCCGCCCCGCGGTTCCCCCAGTTGCGTCCCATTAGTATAGCGTTGCTTATCTCATCTTAGCTTAGCTTAATTCATCTTAGCTTAGCCTAGCTTCATCTTAGCTCAGGTTTATCTTAGCTTAGCTTACCTTCAGTGCAAGCTCGTCAGTGCAAGCTCGTCAACGACTTCGTGCCGAACCATCCAGACCGGTGCTTCCAGCACCTCCGTGTTCGCGTTGACGACCACAACGAGCCCGTGTCCATCGTCAATTGCCATGCGCCCGCCTCGAAAAAACGAGGGTTGACAATGGAAGGGCGCAAGCACACCTTCCTTGCTTGCCACAATGCGTGTGCGGGGGATCGCTTCATCTGGGGCGGCGACTTCAGCACGGGGATCATTCAGCTCATCGCCCTGGTGCAGAGTATCGATGAAGGCTACACAGCCTGCCAAGTATCGATTGACTCCGGTGCTGCACAGCCTGGATCACTGCAGCTGGTCTTCTCTCACCCGTTGAGTTTCAAACACGGCGACCTCGCGATGACCCACGGCCTGCGCAGCGTTCAAACGAGCTCCGAAAATGGTGCGTTCTTCGACGGAGTGAGTGATGCTCATGACCTCGTTGTGGCCAGGGTGTTCCTGCCTCGAGACCTCGAGAGTGCGGCTGAGCCTTCGCCGGTTCTGCGAATCACCGATGCGCGCCCTCCGCTGACGTGGGAAGCGACACGCCGCCCGCCGAGCAGCGCTGCGCAGCCTGCCACCTCCTCCAACGTGGTACGCAGGCCCGCCACGCCCCGTGTCAACGCCATCTTCGGCAGCGATGCCTCCGCCGACGCAGGAGGTGCTCGAGGAGATCGGCAGAGACTTCCTGTTCGTAGCCTCGTCCGACGGCCGCTTCGAGGCGGCAGCTGCTCCGCGCATCGCCGAGAAACTGGAGGAGTTCTTGCGGGTCGTCGAGGAGCAGCGTGCGAATCGCATGCGCCGCGCGCCTGGCCAGGACTCCGACCCCATCTTCACGCCTCGCCACATGAAAGAGATCCACAAGAAGTGGCTCAGCGACTATAAGTCGTGGATGAACACGGAAACGGTCCAGGAGTACGAGCGGTTGCGCAACGGGAGGTGCGGGCAGAAAGCGCACCAGCTCCGACGAAGCGCTTTCTCCGCGTAATTGTTCCAGATCATCGGCGACAAACATATGTTGCTTTCCGCCATCTAACATCCAATCTGCAATGCTGCGCAGCCTGCAGACGCAATGTGGCGGTTCATGGGCGCGTGGGCGGAGGAGAAGTCGTCGACTGACCACGACGAGAGGAACGCGACGGAGAGGGAGGACATCGGCGACGACGAGAACGAGGGGCCGCACAAGCGCCGGCGCCGTGAGTGGGCGAGCGGCTAGCGCTTCGCAGCTCGCGGGTCGCGCCTCGCAGCCCGCAGCTCGCAGCCTCCAAAACCGCTCCAGGACGAACCGAAAAATTTAGCTTTTCGCCCCGAGACGCCCCTGGGGGGCCCAGAGAGCCCCCCCCAAAGCCCCAAGAGGCACCCAAGAGGCGTCCCAAGAGACCACCAGGAAACATACATTTTCGCCATGCACGGTTGTTCGGTTTTCACAGCGTTGACGACGATCCAAGACGCCCCGGAGACCGCCTCAAGGCGGCCCAAGAGGCCCCCGAGGGTCCCCAACAAATATTCCAAAAACGTCCCAAGACGGCCCAAGAGGCGCCCGAGATGGCCAAGTCGTGCGGTATTAGACCGGATACGGAGCATTTTCAAACGCGCCCGGTGAGCGAATGAAACACATGCGTGTGTGTGTGTGCGTGCTTGTGCGCAGGCGAAGCAAACAAAACGTTAAGCAATAGCAAAAACAGAACTAAAGCAACGACAACAGCAAACGCAATAGCAAAAGCAAAGGCAAGGCAATGCAAATCAGAAGCGAAACCTATGCGAAAGTGTAAGTGTAGATGTAAATGTAGGTGTAGGTGTAGATGTAGATGTATATGTAGGTGTAGATGTAGGTGTAGATGTGGGTCTCGCTGTTGATCTTGGTGTAGATGTATATGCAGGTGTAGATGTTGGTGTAGCTGCCGGTGTAGATGTAGATGTTGCTTTCCTAGATGCTCCAAATCCTAGGTAGGGTCGCACTGGGATAATTTATGAGAGAGATGGTGTGGGTTGGGGGGGGAGCATGGTTCCTGGTTGGCTGCCAGTCGCCTGGGGGAGGGGGTGTATATCAATAGGGAGCAGTGATGAACCCCTCCCCGAACACGGGCAAAATGGGGATTTGAAGAGGAGTTTCCTTAGACCACCTACGCCCAGAGGGCTGGTGGAATTCGCAGACATGCCTTGTTACTTCTACGCAGATCAGGGTCGTCTTCGATTGTGAGCTGATTCGGTGTTGCTCGCATGACTGCGAGCGATCTATAGAGTAGGCGCGGATTGAATCGAGTTGATCCTCCTATTCCTCCTCGTCCGCCTACTTGGATTCTTGGATCGAAGCTGTGTAAGACAGTCCGCTGGCTTTTGGATGCGGCGCGCTTGCCAGTCAGACAGTCAGTCAGCCAGCCAGCCAGCCAGTCAGTCAGCCGACGTCGCCACAGGTGGCCAAAGAGCGGGCGACGGGCGGGGCGGCACGCTTGTGGGACGCACGCATGTGGGACAGCTTTCGACCCTCGTCTCCCCGTGCCATGCGGGGCGATTCCCTCCTCCTGCGTCGCTGAGCCAGCGAGGCCGCCCCAGAAGAGGAGGTCAGACGGGGTCACCCCGCCCAGGCCCCGACAGTCGAAGAAGACACAACTGCACAAGCAGAGACTTCTGGAGGTCGGTGCGGACTTATTGGATCTGCGCTGGCCCTCATCGGTGGCGCCACTGTCGCCACTCTGAGCGCGCTCGGCGCGCCAAAGAGGGGGGCCCAGCTCCGATCCAAGAAAACCGCGCTGACCCCCGACAGTTTATCTTTACGCTGTTTTTACCTAACAGCGAAGACTGATAGGTTTCTAGTGGGGTCAAAAGAGAGCATCTTGACGCCCCAGAGGGGGTCCGGGCAGGATCCGGGGAGAAGCCGCGGAAGTCGATTTAGGCAGACAGATACACACTTCGTGGGCTTCGAGGTCCCAGAACTCCATTCCTGGGCATGATTTTGAATGCCCGGAGCCACCTGTAGGCCACTTCGTGTTCTTCGAATTCCCAGAACTCCATTACCGGGCCACATTTTGAATGACCGGGGCCAACTGTAGGCCACTTCGTGGTCTTCGAGTTCCCAGAACTCCACTCCTGGGCATGATTTTGAATGCCCAGAGCCAACTGTAAGCCACCTTGTGGTTTTCGAGTTCCCAGAACTCCATTCTTGGGCATGATTTTGTGCCCGGAGCCACCTGTAGGTCACTTCGTGTTCTTCGAGTTCCCAGAATTCCATTCCCGGGCCACATTTTGAATGCTGAAGCAGGCTGATGCTGAGGCTGAGGCAGGCTGAGGCTGAGGCCGAGGCTGAAGGCAGACTGAGGCTGAGGCTGGTGCAGGCTGAGGCTGAGGCTGAGGCAGGCTGAGGCTGAGGCTGAGGCAGGCTGATGCTGAGGCAGGCTGAGGCTGAGGCTGAGGCTGATGCAGGCTGAGGCTGAGGCAGGCTGAGGCTGAGGCCGAGGCTGAAGGCAGACTGAGGCTGAGGCTGAAGCAGGCTGAGGCTGAGGCTGAGGCAGGCTGAGGCTGAGGCTGAGGCAGGCTGATGCTGAGGCAGGCTGAGGCTGAGGCTGAGGCTGAGGCAGGCAGGCTGAGGCTGAGGCAGGCTGAGGCTGAGGCCTGAGGCTGAAGGCTGAGGCTGAGGCTGAGGCAGGCTGAGGCTGAGGCTGAGGCAGGCTGATGCTGAGGCAGGCTGAGGCTGAGGCTGAGGCTGATGCAGGCTGAGGCTGAGGCAGGCTGAGGCTGAGGCTGAGGCTGAGGCTGAAGGCAGGCTGAGGCTGAGGCTGAGGCTGAGCATGCTGGCTGACTGAGGCTGAGGCAGGCTGGCTGAGGCTGAGGCAGGCTGATGCTGAGGCAGGCTGAGGCTGAGGCTGAGGCTGCAGGCTGAGGCTGAGGCAGGCTGAGGCTGAGGCTGAGGCTGAGGCTGAGGCTGAGGCTGATGCAGGCTTGGCTGAGGCAGGCTGAGGCTGAGGCCGAGGCTGAAGGCAGACTGAGGCTGAGGCTGAAGCAGGCTGAGGCTGAGGCTGAGGCAGGCTGAGGCTGAGGCAGGCTGAGGCTGAGGCTGAGGCAGGCTGAGGCTGAGGCTGTGACTGCGACTGCCGGCCACTGCGACTGTCATCGCGAATGCGACTACGACTGCGAGAACAGCAGAATTCTACAACTGGATTCTCATCTGAATCTTAAGGGGAATGCTTCCAGATATGCTCCTACACATCGCTGTTAGGTTGCTTTGCCGGGATAATTCTTCGTCTGCGCAACGTCCAACTGGGGACACTCTTGTGCGGCAGGTTCGCGTCGTATCGATGTGGTGGCGGCTTTGCCGCAGGCGTTCAAGGTTGAACGCCGCTAGTGGCCCAGAATCGGCCGATACTGAACGATCTGCCGGGTACCCTCTTGGGGTCGTCTCTGGCCGTTTTGGGTTCACTGGCCGAGGGACAAGTTAGACGTTTATCCCCTGGATCGGCCAACATAAGCATTCCCCGAGTTAATGTTCTCCAGATTTTCGAAAGGGTTAAAAGGCTTGGGAACAAACCGCCGCGTGCTGATGATTCTGGGACTGGAGTATAATCCACCCAGTGCCTGCGACGCGGTGATTTATCTCATTGACCATGTCTGTGCAGGCTGAGCATTATTCATTGTTTGTCACGTACTGTATCTGTGTTTGCTCAAGTATTTTTGCATCGTGGTAGTTATCTTCGCCAGGAATATTTGGGATAGCCTCTATCCAGGCGCCTGTGGCGAGTCCCGCCGCTGTGCCAGCGGAAAGCTTTGCACGGCGACTTTTCGGGCCCCGCCGAACAATTTCCTTACATGTGGCACTTGTCGCCCTTGTGAAAAAAGAGGCTGAGGAAAATGAGAACAAGGACTGCTGACGATGATGATTATGATGATGATGTTGTTGTTGATGATGATGATGGTGATACTGATGCTGATCGTGATGATGATGATGATGATGATGATGATGACGATGATGATGATGATGATGATGCTGTCGCTGCTGATGATGATTATGATATTTGATGATGATGATTCTGATAACGATGATCATGCTGCTGATGATGCTGATGATGATGCTGCTGATGATGATGATGCTGATTCTGATGCTGCTGCTGATGAGGATGATGATGATGATGCTGAGGCTGATTATGATTATGAGGATGTATTGTGATGGTGATGGTGATGGTGATGGTGATGATGATGATGATGGTGATGATGATGATGATGATGGTGGTGATGCTGCTGCTGATGATGATGATTGATGATGATGATGATGCTGATGATGATGATGATGATGATGATGATGATGATGATGATGATGATGATGATGATGATGATGATGATGATGATGATGATGATGATGATGAGGATGATGATGATGATGATGATGATGATGATGATGATGATGATGATGATGAGATGATGATGATGATGATGATGATGATGATGATGACGATGATGACGACGACGACGACGATGATGATATGATGATTATGATGATGATGATGATGATGATGATGATGATGATGATGATGATGATGAGGATGCTGATGATGAGATGATGATGATGATGATGATGATGATGATGATGATGATGATGATGATGATGATGATGATGATGATGATGATGATGATGATGATGATGATGATGATGATGATGATGATGATGCACTTAGGGAATATTGATTGAAACACGGGAGAGCGCCGCAACTTTTGCCCTCCGTATTTCTTCGGCTCAGCACTTCTTTTGAGCGCCCATCCTCGGCCGGCAGCGCATGGACTATGTGCTGCAGCCCAGGTATTCCGCGCGCGGCTCGCTGGTGTCAGCTCGCCGTCCTGTTGTGACCCACCGAGGGCGTTCCACTACTCGTAAAATGCCTGTTCGCAGACTTCCGAAAAACACACGTTCGCCTCGTTGTCATGGATCGTAAATCCCCCGTGGTGGATCCAGGCCGTTTGCGAGTAGTTACTCTGCGAGCAGTGGAGCGCGCTTGTCGAGTGGCTGCACGCCCGCACACTCCGACGACGGGGTCCTCGAGCTGCTCCGCGAGCAGCTCCAGCGGTGCGGCCCGGAGAGGCTGCCTGCTTGCCCGCTGGCGCCGCCGTCACCGCCAGAGGCGGCTTACCTGGGGGCTCGTGTGGCCCCTCGCTGCCGCCGTCGCGGCCGGCGGCCTCGCGGGGGGAAAGGCTTGTCGCCCTGCAGCTCGCCAGCTGCGCTCGGCGGCTGCGTGGCTCGCAGCCGCTGGTGTCGCGGGTGGTGGCCGAGGGGGCGTGGGCCCCCCCAGCCAGCAGGGCCGCGGGCGCGGAACCAGGCGCTGGCGCTCGAGGGGCGCCCAGGGCTTGACGTGGCCTCCGACGACCTCGCAGGCGAGGCTCGCGCGGCGCTGACTGCTGTGCGGGCGCGCGCGGCTGCGCGTTGATGGCGCTCGCTCCTGGGGTATGGCTGTTCGTGGCTTGCGACAACCCAGGGGTGAAGGACCCGCTCTACCACGAAAAACTTATCACCGCCGTGGGAGTCAATGCGCAGTACTGCGTCTTCACTACTGACGGCGACCACTACCTCGAGTAGGTTTCCTCAGCTAATGCCGATTCTCTCGATATCCGATCGTTGGCTGGACCTGGAGCCGGGCCCGTCGGGATCAACGCCAATCGGATCTACAGATTCCGCCGCGTGCCCACGCTCGCGGAGCGTGCCCAGTACTTCAGGGACGGTGCCCTCATCGCAGTGGTGGCCGTGCCGCCCGCCGCCGCAGCCGCTGCGCCCGCCGACGCGCCGCGGCCTGGCGCTGCGGCCCTGGCAGCTCTCGAGCGTGTGTGGGTGGTCGCCGAAGATGCAGCAGGGCGGGTGCGAGGTAATATCATCGCGGACATGGGGGGCGCTCCCACCATCTTCGGGGACATGGCACTTGTCGAGTTGGCCCAGGGTACATCGCGGACGAGGTCGCGAGATATGCCAACGACGACCTTCGCATCTTCCCGGTCGCCTTCAACATTCGAGGCAACCGTCGCCGCCCCCTTGCCGATGCCGATGGCTTCGGGCCGGAGGGTCTGCGGCGTTGGCGCGGCGGCAGCATCGAACCTCAACCATCGCGACGCGTGGTTTCGCACTTGCCGTCCGGCGACAGGTCGGTGCCCGCGCATCGCGTTCTGTGTGTCCTGCTGCACGTGATGCTGGTCGTCGACCAGCTCAACGCGAGCTGCTTGCAATCGGGCGAGCTTATCGCCAGGAGGCCCCAGCTGATTGAGGGCGCTCGCCGAGCCAGCCCGTTTTCATCAGACTACGGATCGCCGGACCACTACGTGGGGCGTGCTTATCGGGCAGGAGGTGTCACTGACGCGCCTGGCCTCAGGCGCTACGTCGCGGACAGGCCAAGGGCGAGGTCGGGGTGGCCAAGGGGCAGCGGAAGGCTCGCGAGGGGCCCCGCCTGCTCCGAGGCAGCTCCAGCCCCGCGGGCCGAGGAGAGGGGGGGCGGGCGCCGAGGGCGCCGCCCGGGGCTGGGCGACTTCGATTCCGCGGAGGGGGGGCCTGGCCGACCCCTCGCGCGTGTCCCAGGCCCTGCTCACGGTGTGGTTGTGCGCCTGGGCGCCAGTGTTTGACGGGCGCCAGCGAGAATTGCCCCCCTGGCCGCTAGTCGAGGGGCGCCTCGCCGTTGCCGCGAGTCCCCTGGGCCGGGGGCGCGCGCTGGCCAGCGTCCGATGGGGGGGGCTGCGCCGTCGATCAGGCAGTCAGCGCCTTGGGGGAGCTCTACTGTGCACCTGAGGGCTCAGCGAGCACTGCGCTTGGTGGCCACCGCGAAGCGCATCGCCAGCTTCGCCTCGCCGCCCGACTGAGCCCCCGTGCAGCGATGTATATTTTTTCCCAAGCAGCCGCGGGGGGCTGCTGAGGTTCCGCTCCTCCTGCGATGAGAGTGCCGCGTGCCGGGTGCGGGCCTGCGACCGGTCGCTCGTCGATTTCCCGAGGCCAAGCTGGGCGCCGCCAGCCCTCGCTGACGTGGCTGGCCATGTCGGGCGCGAGACGTTGAAGGATTGGATGAATCTTGCGATGCCGGGCCAGGGCGAGTAGGGCCAGGTGGTCGAGAGTTCGCCTCCAGTGACGCGCATGGAGCCGCGCGAAGGGCTCCTCGCTCTACCGGGCCTTCGTCGGGGACGCGCGCGCCGCGGGGGCCATCGGCTCCGCCGCGGAGCCCGCGGACTGAGCGCCCCCCTTCGCCGGCAAGAAATCAGGTCAGCTGCGGGTTTGGCTCTCGACGGGAGAGCCCCGAATCGGCGGTTCCTAAAGCGCCCCCCCTCCTGGCCGCGGGGGCGGGGGCGTCGTTGGGCAGGCCGGGGCTTGAGGGGCCAGGCGTGCGCGCCTTCCAGGAGACGCCTGGCGCTCGCGAGGAGCTCTTCGTCAGTGGCCTCAGCGCGAGGAACTGCATCTATGCGCTGGGGAATTATCTCCAGCTGATGCCCTTCTACAGCTTGCCCGACGCCCTGGCCGAGTTCACCGAGGGCTTCGGGGGGCCGCTGGTCGGGGCGCTCCAGCCCTCGACTGGGTCTGGTCGACGCTGAGAGTGGCCTCCATTGGCTGGGGCTGGGCCTTCTGCCTGGCCGAACGTGTTGCCTCGCGGCGAGTCCAAGTCGCCTTCGGCGTCGGGCCGTCCGTGCTGCTCCGCGACCGCGGCCTGGCCCCCGACATCTGACGGGGGGCCCGCCGTTCTTGGCTATTGCCATTGCGTCGGCGCGGCTTCGACCTCTGGGAGTGACTGGCCAGCTGCGTCGCAAGATCGAGGTGCAGCTCGTCGAGGACGGCGTCGAGGTCCACGGGGCCACTGTCGCGTCCACTTCCGCCGTCATGTTCGGCAGGGAGATCGATGGCAGTCCTGAGACGGCGCAGCTACCTCCCCAAAAGCCTGCCCGACTGGGAGCAGCTAGCTGACGGTTGGTGCGAGGGGCGTCCGAGAGCGTCGGCCCATCGGATCGAGATCGTCGCCGGGCACTGCGTCGACGCCGCCGTGCTGAACCCTTGCCTCGTGTCCGTGTGCTGCGGGTGCTGCGTCTTCGCCGCCGCCGCCGTCTGCAGCCCTGCCGAGCACTGGGCTGCTGTGGCGTGGGTGCTCTCGATCGGTCTTTTGCAGGTTGCTCTTCGCGTCCGCCTGGGACGCGCGGGGGCCGCCCTGCAGCGCCGCTGGCGCGTGCGACTCGGGCCCGACTGGAGCGGCGGTGGTCGCTGCAGAGATGTCCTGCGAGGTCGCGTGGAAGAGATGGTGCAGGTCGGGGGGCGCTCGCGCTCCCGGGGTCGTGGCGGCGTCCTGGCTCCCCGCCTCTCCGCCGTCGGCCCTCCTGGTGTTTTTTCTCGGGCCCGAGGGCCGCCCCCCCTTCGAAAGTTCAGATGGGGGGGGCGAGGGCGCCTTGGTCCCCAAGCCTTCTTTCGAGGAAGTGCCCGAGGGGCGGGTGGCGTGGGCCTCGTGGCAGACGTGCGTGGCCCTGCCGTTGGCGGGGGCTGAGCGGATCGCCGCCCGCTCTGCGTGGATCTTTCGAGAAAGGGTCCTCGGCGTCTGATTTTTTCCGATGTGTATCATCGTTCGCCGCAGGCAGGGGTGCGAGTTTCGTTGTGTTCACCTCCTGCGGGAGGGTGGCGTTCCTGTCCGCCGCCTCGGGCTCAGCTTTTCTGCGCCGCTGGGCGCGTTCTGAGAGGGGTCGGGCCGGGGCGGGGTCGCGCCTCTGGTGAGCTGCTGCCGGCAAAGAGCCCGGCCGTCCGACCGGGCTCGGCCGCGGCCCCGCCGAGGCGTGGCCGCCGGGCCACGGCGCCGCCGAGGCCCTGGAGGCGGCGTTCGGGCGGGGCGCAGGGCCGAGGTCGGGGGCCGCCGCTGTCGCGGCCTTCTGGAGGCCAGCCGGCTCGATCAGCAAGGCCATCAGGGGCGACTTCGACAGGGGGCTGAGCGAGTTCCAGACATGTGCGTCGAAGGGGTCGCTTGAGTTGTCCAGGTTGGCCCCTGCCGACGCGGCGTTGGCCGCGTGCGCCGACGAGCTCAGTGCGGCGCCGCTTTCAGAAGAATGGCGGGGGCCCTGGCCGTCGACGTTGGTGTCCTCAGAACTCGTCACGTGCGAGCCATGCTCGAGGAATGCCTGCGGATCCGCCTCGTGCACGCTCGCTGACCGTCCTCGCGAAGAGGTCCGGGTCGAGGTGCCTCGTGTATGGTTTTGGCCGGATCCTCCCAGATGTATTGATTCAGCGTCTGTCGTTCAGAGTGCTACCAGGTCGCCCAGTGACACAGTCCATTCCTTCTTCAGAAGTGGGATAGGACGCCCGTCTACGAGCCCGAGGCATTAATCTGTCAGATTCCTGCCCGAGGGTGCCCAGGAGTTCTGGCCTCCCGTGGGCGGGCCCCCGCGTCGACGCCCTGGCGCGCCATGCATGGCGCGTGCGGCCCGTCGCGTAAAGGGGTTCTCATATCATGATGCAGCTTTATCGGATATTCGTCGAATCGCGGGGGAGTGCCGCAACCCTTGCTCTTGACAGTTCTCGAGTTCCTTCCGTTCCCCCCCCCCGCCTTCCCCGGTGGAGCTGTCTGCGGGCGCGGGCCTCTGATCTTTCGGCCCCTTGCCCAAGGTCGCCCAATAATTCTGGCCTCTCAGCAAGGCCCCCCCCGCTCGACGCTCTGGCGCTGCATGCGTGACTGTGCAGCCTGGCGCGGAAATAGTGCTTTCTATTATGTTGCTGCTGCTGCTGCTCATGGCGATGCTGGTGCTGATGGTGATTATAATACTTATGGTGGTTCTGGTGGTGATGGTGATGATGATGATTGTGATGCTGATGGTGATGATGATGGTGGTGGAGTTCGCTGTGGTGACGATAAGTATGACGATTATCATGATGATGCTGATGATGATGGTGATAACGGTACTGCTGATGACAACGATTTTGGATGTACCAATGATGATGTTGATGCTGATGCCAGTGCTGATGGTAATGATGTTGCATCTGATGATGGTGACAATGATGCTGATGACGATGATTATGATGATGATGATGAGTTTGGTGATGCTGGTGCTGATGATGATGCTGTTGTTGATGATGCTGATGATGACGATGTTGGTGATGATGTTAATGGTGAGTATGCTGTTCTTGATAATGCTGACGACGACGCTGATCATGGCGATGCTGCTGATGCTGATGATCATGCTGGTGACGATTGTGCAAATGATGACGAACATGATGATGCTGATGGTGATGGTGCTGCTGATGGCGACGATGATGGCCATGATGGCGATGCTGATGATGCTGCAGATGGTCATGATGGTGATGGTGATGATGATGCGACGTATGATGATGATGATGATGGTGATGATGATGGTGATACGGTTGCGAATGTTGCGGGTGATGGTGATGATGACGATGACGATGCTCATGGTGATGAAAATGCGGATGTTAATAATGATGCTGCTGCTGCTGCTGATGATGATGATGATGATGCTGATGCTGATGATGATGGTGATGCTGATGATGCTGATGATGCGACTGTTGCGGAACATGGTGATGGTGATGGTGATGATAATGATGACGATGGTGATGATGATGCTGCTGCTGAGGATGATGCTGATGCTGATGCTGATGCTGATGATGATGATGATGATGGTGATGATGGTGATGATGATGGTGATGATGCTGCTGCTGCTGCTACTGCTGATGATGATGCTGATGATGATGATGATGATGATGATGATGATGCTGCTGCTGCTGCTGATGATGATGATGATGATGATGATGATGATGATGATGATGATGGCGCATCTGATTTGCAAAATGACGAGGACGATTCCGAGTACGACTGCAACCGTCGCATGCTAGATCTGCCGCTACCCCCGAAATGCCACGAGAAGAGAATACGGGGAACCACAGGCGGACGAGGAAGATGAGGAAGAGGAGAAGGAGGAGGAGGAGGAGGATGAGGAGGAGGAGGAGGAGGAGGAGGAGGGCGGAGGAGGAGGAGGAGGATGAGAGGAGGAGGAAAAGGAGGAGGAGGGGAAGAGGAAGGAGGAGGTGACGAGGAGAGGAGGAGGAGGAGGAGGAGTAAGGGGAGGAGGAGGAGGAGGAGGGCGGAGGAGGGGGAGGGGGGAGGAGGAGGAGGGGAGAGGAGGAGGAGGAGGAGGAGGAGGAGGAGAGGAGGAGGAGGAGGAGGAGGAGAGAGGAGGAGGAGTAGGAGGAGGAGGAGGGGGAGGAGGAGGAGGAGGAGGAGGAGGAGGA